TATATATATATATATATATATATATATATATATATATATATATATATATATATAATTATCATTATTTTTTTGCTTGTGTAATGATGCGCGGCATCCCATGATGCCATGACATGGATGGGAAGTTCAATGTGTGCATCTGTGTGTTTTGTAATGTCCTTGTTGCCATGGCGCAGTGGGTATAGGTTCTCCTGCTCAAAGGCTGTCTGTCTCTGTGCACTCTTACCCTGAGCCTAACGTGGCCCCTTGGCCTGTGAAGTAGGGGGGGAGGTGTGTCTGCCCCCCTCCCTGAGAAGAGTGGACGGCTCTGTGTGTGTGCGTGTCTCTGCAGTTACCAGACTGCCTCTGGAGAGCATTAAAATGTGTTTACGCTAACCACAAGCTAACGCCATTAAAGTGCTTCGCTTTCCTCATCACCCTTGTTTTAACACATCAGAGCTTGTTTCATGTCATGCTGATTTGTATGTATGTGTGTATGTGTTTTTCCTCCAGTAGAAAAGGACCATTTTTCTAATGGTATTTGTAGTTTTAAACGTCGCTTGTGAACTTAATGTTGATTTTGCTGCTTGATGGAACCAGTTTAGCCCAGTCTTGGACTCTCTCTTGTGGTTAGACTTCCTGTAACATCTTGCCTTCTGATTTGGAAATGTTTTATCCTTTGGTTTTCATTTTCTTTCTCATGGCAGGCCTATTTCCATTACAGAACATTCTGATGGACTCAGAGAAGTCACTTTACAGTTTTAACCAAATGTAACACGAAAGGCAGTTTGAGTTATTCATACCGGTTTTGTATTCTGAGAAGGCTGAGGATTTTTGCCACAAAAAAAAACCGCCGTCGATTGTAATTTAATTTCATTCCAACGCTGCCATTTGGGAAATTGATACGCGTTTGTCCTTCGGATAGCGTATCAAAAATTGCTGACGTATCTGTGCTGCAAATGCTAAAATATCTCACTGTGTTTTTCCTGTTTATGTCTGAGAGGGAAAGTGGAGTTGATGCTATATCCATCTAGCGATTTTCGTTTGTGCATCGTGTTCTTGTACAGAACAGTTTATCGACACTAAGTATTCCCACTGTGCGCATGCGGGTTTGTGTTGGACGTACAGCCAGTTCGGCGCAGAGCACAACAACGTCTTTTGTGAAAAGCGACTGTATTTTCTTTCATAATCTCAGTTGCGCGACAAATGTATTTATCCAACTAGATTATTCCAGTACACATATCAGTAACTATACCGAAAATAATATTCGATTCAGCCAGGAATTCTCATGAATTTGCACTGCAAGAAACCTGTTCTGGGTCAAGTTTTTTTTTTATTATTCCTATGGGGTATGTGGTGTGAGGAATCCCGACAGCTGAGTGGACTGTAAGGAAACACCTCGATTCTTTGCTGCCAAGACGGTGACCACCGTTTCTCTGCACTAAGTGTGTGTGCGTGTTTTTTTTTTATTTTATTATCATTATTTTGTAATCCCGGCCGCTCCTGCAGTGTGAGATAACGCTTCTCTTCTTTAAACTATATTCTGCCTTTATCAACCGACTCCAGAAATCAGACGCTGGCCGTAGTTGCGCCTGTACAGTTGTCTGTGTGCCTGTATCTAGATAACTCGGTAGACAAAGCCGTTTAGAGATCGACTATATTGTAGCCAGTTAAACGTGTTGACTGTGCAGTTGTGTGCTTTAGTGAATCGCCGCTATACCATGCAAGAATGCTGCTGTCTCACCCAGACGCGCTCGTCCCCAAACGGAAGGCGAATGAGTACGTTGTTACACCATTAAGATTGCAGAGCTGTTGCAGTTTTTTTTTTGTTTCACGCTGAAAGACAGAAGGAGTCTATTGACGTCCTGGGAAGTGTTGCGAGATGAGACAGGCTTCACTACTATAGCCTTTGGGTCACCGATTGTTTTATGTCAGTCAAAACTGGAGAGCGAGAGAAAAAAAAATATTTTCAGTGCTGGAAATTCAACTTGTTTGCTTCAACCAAAATGTTGTTTGAACAGATCATTGAATATCGTATAGCATG